CGGCACCATTTTCACGCCGGCGAGCTCCATTCCTCAGCTCGCGTTTCCCCAGCGAGGCCCAGTTTCCGACGGGCGCGCGAACCACTGCTCGTCCTCAGCCCATCGTTCCCAGATTTCCGGCAAAAGCAGACCCGCAGCTACCGCGACTGAGCATCCCGACGAGCAGACCTTCATCTCCGGCGAAGGTCGTCCCAGCCACGCGCCGCCGTCTCCTCCAGATCCGGCGACCATTCCGCCACCGTGACCAGCTTCTCACGGCCCCGTTCTCAGCAGTTTCCGGCAAGATACAGCAGCCCGTGGCCGCAACTCTCCACTCCTGTTTCTCCGACGAGTCCACAGCCCGCAACTCCGCCGTCCAGCTCACGTTTCCGGCGAGCTTCCATGTTCGGCGTCCTCCTTCTCGACAATCAGACCAGCACATCCGTCCAGATCTACTGCAACCCATTTTTGGGTTTCTTTGACCCGGTCAACAGCCCAAATCCGGTCCAAACAGCTCCTAGTTGGACCGGTCCGACCCGACCGGCTTCTTGCTCCGTTTTTCTTCCATTTTCTAGTCCGATCCGCTCGTTTCCGATCTCGTGAGGTATAATATCTAAAGACTTGAATGATATGGGATAAATTGATGATAAAATCGAGATAAAAATTAATTGAGATGTTGTTTTGAGTTGGATCGGTATACACGAGCTTAAAGCGAATAAATTGATATTTTCGATAGACGCGTTAAAAATATCGAAAAAATATGATAAAATTCGTATAGCTGACTTGAGGCCTAGGTTTTAATTTCGTAATTTTTGGGGCTCGTTTAGTATGTTAACTGGATTTTTGAATATGTAGCTGAAATGCCCGATTTTTGATAAATATGATAAGACCTCGGAATTCGATGAAACTTTCACGAAAAAATCCTTTAAATAATGAATATGTCGTGGTTTAAATTTCATAATTTTTAGAGGTTGTTTGATATGCCTACAAATTCGAGACTTTAGCTGCTTTGGTGAAAACCTTAGATTTTATCCGGTTGAGATTTAGCTGAAATTACTGGGAATCGAGTTGAACTTAAAGTTTGAGTTTTTGACTTGAACCGAGATAAATAGCCGGTTGAGCATAGAACCCTAGTCTGGCCTTTTTCGGTCAGTCCGGATGAACTGATCCGGGTAGAAAAGTTGTGCGTCGACTGATGTCGTGTCCGTGCGTATGCACCCAGACCACGATTAAGTCGAGTTGCACCCAGTCAGATAAATAAGATCAGATCAGTCAGATAAGTTAGATCAGATAAGCAGACCAGACTTAGAAATATTTCAGAGAACTCTAGAATGCCTCAAAGTCAGCAAATCTTTTCAGAACAACTCAAAGCATCTAAATTCAGATTAAATGATATTTTAATCGAGCGAGAGAACAGAGTAAGATTTATTAATAATAAGAATCAAGTCTTTATTTGAGCTTAGTACTTAGTACATTTTGCTCGAATATTTATGTAGCTTAAGGAGAGTCGAGCCTCCGACAGCTACCAGTGAGTCAACACTTGCCTAGCAGTAGCAGTTATCAGGTGGGGGTCACGTACTGGTTATACTTCATCTTTAATTTCCGTACCATGTCCGAGGTATGTATGAGAAATAGTTAGATCATCATGAGGGAGGCCGTGGCGGGCCTTAATGATCCCCCGTGATTCTGAGGGAGGCCTTAATTGGCCTTAATGATCCCCCGGAGTGTGCACATGATTGGCTTTTAAGCCCCAGGGTCTTTATGACCACCAGATGCCCCAGTTACAGTTTCAGTTCAGATCAGATCTTATATACATAAAGTCATGA